ACAAACATCCTCCCCCTCTCTTTTAATTAATAAAAAATAAAACCCCCCCCCCCCCCCCCCCCCCACAAAATTTGAAATTAAATGACAAAATTATTACAAAATTCGCTGCCTTTAATGGGTGCGGAAATGAAATTTTCATTATTATCATAAACACAAAAATGACATTTTCCCACCCTCCAATATGATCTTTGAGTTATGATGGCAGTGTCAGAAATGATTTCAATATTAATATGACTCGTCACTAAATAAGCGAGTGTGTGTACGGTAGGTATACGGTGTACACTTTAGATAAACAATATCTGTTCGCTTTTCTTTATAAAAGAAAACCTAACCCACAATTTCAAAATAATTGAAATTTTCTCCCTCAACTAAGTGAACATAAATTAAAAACGAACTGACAAACACGATGGGCTTTTAGCAAACGCGTCTTGACGTTAAAGTAAACGTTGATTGAAATATAATCCAGCTGAGGGAAAAATGTTCAGGTATTTAATGCATTTGCGACATTTCGGTCTAACGTCATTTTCTAAACTCTTCTCACGTTCTCACTAGCCAGCCTACTTTAGCAAATCCTTGCTTATCAGCGAGTATTTGAAGCAGTTAACGGTATGCTTGAGTAGACAATAACAAAAAATAATACGCAAAAATACAAAAATAAATAAGCAAAAGCTTGGCCGCATCTCTTCCTAGCAATTTCTCCAAAAAATAAAGGTTCGACCGGATCAATATACGTAAGTTCGTATGTAGAATGGAACGTCTTGGGGGTACATTTTTGAGACCGAAGAGGCAAGGAAAAAAAAAAAAAAACGAAAGAGAAATGAAAATCAAAGAAAGACTCTTCCGCACTCACACATATCCAACCCAAGAATTATTAATATTGAATACGTCATCATTGGACGGCCCTTCTTGTACGCTTATGTATTTGCAACTTGTTTGGGCAAGTTTGCCTTGCTCATCGATCACCACGTATAGAACATTACCGTGACCAGTAGTTCTCTAGTTACAAGTTTGGCTCTTCTTCACCGCCTTCCAGATGTTTTCATATTCATATCGAACTTACATGACTACTACTACTACTGTCACCTACTCGTATACCTACTCGTCATACAATACTTTCTTAGTATCGCGAAACCAGGCGAATGTAGTGGATACCCATTGAGTGGATGAGTGAGCACCATTCAGCCTACTGTGTTGAACGTGATGGCTTATATTTGGTCAATTGTTATATAAGCAGAAAAAGCCTCTTTCCACTTGAATTGCTTAACTTTAGAGAACATCGGGCCAGTGTCAATTCTATTTACATATATGAGCGATAATGTATTTATATATTGTTTTTTAAACATACGCACACGCGACTGAAATTTTTAAATATTCATCAACTTGAAGAAGTATATTTAAATTAATTTTCTGCAAACAAAGAAAAGACTTTTGTAAATTACTTTCCCTTCCATTTATTTCTTCGTATCTGTTGTTTTCAAGTAAATCATGCCCGCACTTCATCTCTTAATTCTAATACCATGTTACACTTTATTCATAAGTATTCGCGAATATATGAGGAAATCACCAGTCAACGTTTCACAGATTTAATGCTTAAAAGGCGATGCTTTTTACTTTGTAACGAGATTATATATGTATGATAGTGTGGAGCTTGTGTGGAAAAATGGTATAGAGTGCAACCACATCCAAACTCACTAAATATGCCTTTTCCAAGGATCAACGCACCCTCCTTCTAATACTACTCTATGCACTATGTTCCCATTTTGCATTGCATATAGTTCAGCGTACGGCGATTTTATTGCTCATAAATCCATTTCCCACGTCCTTCCAAACTCATAATGAATGATATTAGCATGAAATCTATGTATCACATTTTTAAAGCTTGATAATTGATGAAAATCTATTGACAAAGATTTGTTGTGTTATCGGTTCCTTCTGGCTATCGAAAACTGAAAAGAAAATATAGTTCTCCGTAACTGTATCCGGGGATTTTCTTTGTGATCATGAAAAAAATTATATTTAATTTTTTTTTTTTTTTTTTTTTTTTTTGTTTATTATTTTTGCGTAAGTCTTTCCAGTTTTTTCACTTTACCTTTGTACTACTACTATATGGAAGAGCAAGCCGACCTCATACCTTTCATTCATTCATTTCTATCTAAGCCCGGGCGAACATCTTCTTCTTCTTCTTCTTCTCGTACACACACTTTAAGGGCTACAAGTGCTGCTGGCACAAAATATTGAAGAAAATGAAAAAAATTCTTGCATGGCAAACTTTTATCATATCACCTTGGTTGTCTTAAACATAGACATATATATATATATATATATATGTATAATATAAATACACACAAACATGACATGACTGTCAAAATAAATGGTCTACGTTTTTCATAACATACAATACAAACGTTATTTATTTGCAAGAGGGGATCGTTGAACTTTTAGATATTCTTCACATTTAAGCCACCAGGCAAACGTCTATAAGAGTGTATGTGTATTTATAAGTATCTATAGCTTAGTGTAAATGTATACATATATATATATATATATATATATATAAACATAGATGCAGGCATCTTAAGTAACCTAAACCAGATTCTTAAAGTAATTTTACGTCAACTATGCAGTGTTTTTTTTAAAGTTAAAAGTAAATTGCTATACGTGTATCATAGCGTCTTTGTATGCGTACATTTTGGTACACATATATAAGCATGCATCTGCATGCATCGTCGTTCAACTAAATGTCACACTCAAATTTGCCATCTGCGCGAATAGTTAAAATATTTTATGCATGTTTGCTAGAGCGTCTCTATGAAAATTAATTACTTACGTGTATTACAACGAGCTTTCCCCCCCCCCCCCTTTTTTTTTTTTAAGTTTTATATCTACATTTACGTACATGTGTACACAAGATAACAAGTAAAAAATTTAGATTCGTCTATGGCCGAATCTTTTATACCCACAATTTTTATCTTAAAAACAAAAATAAATAAATAAATAAATTTAATAAATGTATTAAATGAAATATGACCGACCTTCTTTCTCGCTTAGTTTAAGTACCGTAGAATCATCCATAGAATAGAACATATATTTTGACATTTTTAACATTAATAGTTAATAAGTAAGGGGACAAGAAGACAATACGTTTTCTTTTGCAGGGTCCTAGATCATGTTAGACTACCGGGTGTACGCTCTGATCCATCTAAGTCATTCCCAAGATCAAACTAAGTACAGTAATATCCAATATTTTTGCAAATTTCATTCAAAATTTCAAGTCCTACAGTCATAATAAAAATCAACGAACAGACATATATATATATATCTAAGTGTAGAGAGAGAGAAATGCCTCAATCATGTCCAAAACGGACATTTCATGAAAAATGCGGCTTTTGAAGGTTTCGTCTGCTTGTTCCAGACGTTCGAGTAAAACTAATATGCCGTCATTTTCGCTGATGGGTATGAAAAGAAAGAGAAAGAAAATTGAAGAGGCAGAGAGAGTGAGAGCGAAAGAGAGACGTACATGTTACGACAGGTTACATGTACGACGAATTCCTTCTCAAAACGGCCACGTATCACTTTTTTAGTTACTTTTATATATGCGACTCATGCAAAAGGCACTTGTAGTTGACTTGATAAGCGTAAAATTGTTGCGGCATAACAAGCTACACAAGTGGCATACGAAAGGTTAGATTGGTTCCTTTCCTGGCGATTTACTTTTAGAAAAGTGAATAACATAACAAATTTCGAAAAGAGATAACAAAAAGCCAAAAAGAAGAAAGCGAAAGAAAGACTAGAAAAGAAAAGCAACCTAAAATATTTTCAATCCCATGTAACCTATGATATGATGAGGAACATATTTACATCGAAACTTTGCACACTAAGCCAAATAAAATTCAAGACATGTCCTAAGGCTAGCTAAGCTTTCTTGCTCTTATCGCCGCGTTCTTCTTGCAAAAGAATAAATTTGTAGAAAAATGTACTCCTCACAGACCCCACCATTGGATTCGAAGAAAACTTTACCGTTATTGGGGAACTTGCCAAAGCTACAAAAGTTCACATAGAAAACTAATATTTGCCTTATGTATATTAGAAGCGAACTCTATCGAAAATCATTGTCATTAACTTAATTTTCTCGATGAATACTGGGATCATTGCATTATCGCTTTGTTAAAATCTTACTCTATGTTCTCTAAAAGTATATGCAAAACTAAACCCGCAAGTATTATAAACACTTCTATACATATCGCCGTAACGTTCTCTTTGCTCTTATTGGCTCTAGCCTCGTAAGATTACGAAAAGCATGATATGATTTCAATTTTATGTCAAGGCCTTTGACACTTAGTTGTAAAAATGCTTTACATTTTCTTAAGATGACGGAGATTATAGATCAAAAATTATCTGGACTCATCGCCTTAGGAAGATTGCAGTTTATAGGATTTATTGGCCAAAAAAATTCGTAGAGCTCTTAAAAGAGAGGCTCGCTTGTTTCTTTAAACCAAGATTCGTCGAAAGTTTAATAAGATTTTACTACTAAAAGCCATACTTAATGCCATAGACTGCTAATACGTGGATATAAACGACATAGAACTTTTAAGCGAGTTATTGACATTTATGTATAAGTTTGGAAGACAAATGAATAAAGCGACGATTGCTACGAAAACTCGTTGAAAAGAGGCGAGAAAACATCATTAGCTTCATAGATGATAGAGAGCAAGATTTGGCAGTTAATGGCAACGCTTGCGTCGAAACAAGAGCGAGAGTTTGAAAAGCCGTTACCTTCCTTTATATATATATATATATATATATATATATATATATATATATATATATATGTTCATCTCATTAGACAGAATTGAACCCGAAAGTTTACGTGAATGTAGTTTGATGAACCATTTTGAGGGTTTGGTCGGTTAAATATTCAAAAGAAACTTTAACTTTGTTGTTGTATATTGGAATTTAAGCCCATGTGATAGGATATTTTCCGGAAACTTTGACTATTTTTCATAAACTTTTAATATTTTTAATTAGAGCCGATAGTCTTAGATGCTAGAGCTTTAAGATCTTAGTCTTAGAACTTGTTCTCTGACTAAATTATTAATAATCTTTGATATATAGCTACTGTGTGTTTGTTTATTCGCCATCTCTGATTAGTAATGCCATGACAAGATAACGTCATTCTTTCCATTTTTTTCGAGGAGATTTTCTGAACTCTAAGAAATCGAAATATTGTACCAGGCTACGTAATGCCTTAACACTACTAACCGAGTTTTAAGTATTTTCTAAGTAAGTTCTATAGATTCATGCTTGATTCTACGTTGCATCTTACAAGACTATGAACGATAATCGATTTCCCTGCAGGGAAGCTTGACGTTGTCTGTACATTGCATAGAAAGACACAGAGAAAGGCAAAAAGCTTGCAAATCTTTATGGTTAAGATCAAAATCTTAATCATGCAGTTACACTGAGACTTTGTGAGAGTCTTTTGCAAGCAACCAAAGACAGTCGCACTTTTCTTTAACGCATTTTCCAAAAGTAACGCATTATAGTCGTCGTTTTGCCAATCATTTTGCCTTATGGCAAATTTACTTACATTCGAAAATTTCGTAACAATTGACAATTGATTCTGAATAAATGTCTTATATAATTAAATTTTCTTCTTTAATTTGAACACTTTCTTCGAATACTTGACATATCTACGCGTTACGCTCATCGAATGGGAACAGGCACACACAACTCATATTTGTTCCAATTACCGGAAAATAAAGTAGTAAACCTTCTCAGTGAACATCCTGCACTAATTGGAAGACAAATACTCTTTGGAAAGATTTAAAAGAGAGCAAAAAAAAAAAAAAAAAAAAAAAAAAAAAAACAGCAGGCAAATGCAATGAAACAAAAAGCTTGAAAAAAAAAAAAATAGAAAAGAAAATAAACTCTCACCAAAGAAACGTAAATGTAATGACGAAAGGTGTCACTTCTTTTAGCCGATCTAAAAATGAATTTCCCATATGTACAAGCTTATATTCAGTAAGATTGTATGCAGCTTGTATGCTTATATTTACATGCTTTTGTGGGATATGTGGAGCATGTAATAACACAAATGAATTTTAGTTAATGTTACTTGCTGAACACATCCCTACTGGCGTTCATATACGTTAAAAACGGCACATGTACACATTTACACGTTAAAAAAAAAAAAAAAAAAAAAAAAAAAAAAACAAAAAAAAAAAAAAAAAAAAAAAAAAAGAACACAAACCACACTACCCTTGTGCTGCTTGCTATTATAAAGCAACGTAACAAAGTTCCGCTCTAATGCCAATCAAGAATTATTTGCAGTGGAGAAATTCTGTAATTATGTCTTTGGGTTTCCATTCGAACAAGAATGTCGGTCTCTTCTTAAAGCTTACAGCTTAGGCACTAAAGACAACTTTGGCACATATTTTGGACCGAAGTATTTTCTTTAATACACTTGCATAGCCTGCCTATACAAAGCAAAAGGCAAGAAGCGAAGAAAATAAAAGAGAAAGAAAAAGAAAAAGAAGCGAAGAAGAGAAGAAAAGAATAAAAAAAAAAACAAAAAAAAGAAAAAACAAAAAGTAAGCATATGCGAGTGTGTTTGCATTTGTAGTTCCGTTCATTTGACAATCTTTAAATTAACCGTGTGTTTGCTCCATTAATTTTTACTATTCCTTTTTCTCTCTTTCCGTACAGGGAACTGAATATCTCGAGGGCTATAGTATAAATGTCACAAAGACCTACAAAAAGCAACGACATTGTAAACACAAGAGACTGTTTGTAACAGAAGAAACGATGCCTGACATTAGCTTTCCGGTATTGCATGAAATCGACAACAACAACATTATCGAGGGTGCCGCTCGAAGTAGTCAAAATTCTGCGAGCGAAACAGTGCACGGATTAAGTAAAGCTCAAGGCTACAGTCAAATGATTACAACAACAACATTAATACTTACAACTGTCTATCTATTGCTGCAACATATAAGCAAACGTTGGTGGCAGTGCTGGCGCTTACATCTAACGTGAAATATTTCACATTTCATTCAACAGACATATGCCGCAAAGTGAAAACGACACCGCTTTCAACTGCATTTACAGCGCGCACAAACTGATCTATAAATACTGATATATATATATATATATATATCTATATATATATCTACACTTTATACTCAAGCATTCATTTAAGCATACCTACCTATAAATGCAGTAAATATGAATGATTTAAGATGAGAACAAATGCAAACGTTATCTAATAATATTCTTCTCATTGACATTTCCCATCGTTGTTATTTAAAAACAAAAACAAAAACAAAAACAAAATACAAATAATTATGCTTTTATTTTTTTCTTCCTTCATACTATCAATCGTAACTTTTTCATTTCATGTCCCACATCGAAAAGCATAAAAAAAATAAAAAATAAAAAGAAAACATATATGCAAAAAGAAAAAAAAAAAGAGACGTTAAAACGATAAGTGTAGAAATTATGCATAACGTAGCTTTAATGATTAATTGTCATTGATGGTGGATGCGATTTATAGCATTTTTATACGATAGCATAGACCAGGACAGCGGAACGCAGAGCAGTACGAACAGAATGGAATAGCAATAGAAGAAAGAATAAGAAGAATAAAAAGAAAAAGAAGAAGAAGAAAAACAATATATCGATAGAAGACAAGGAGAAGCACTTTAAAGATTCGTCTGCATTGAATTTAATTATATAAGGAGCGAGTTCGAAGCGAGCAAACGAGCGAAGGAGCAAAGAAGCGAGCGTTTCAAAGGAGTTTTTAGGATAAGGAAAATAAAGGGTATCAATATGATATATCTGTTATACGATGAAAATGCTCGTCAATATAAACAACTTTAACAACAAGTGATTACTTTGATGATGATACTCTCTCTGCACTCACTCCACATAGCTAGCTGTAAAGCTCTTGCCTAGCTGAATACACTATAGTAACGATAATGATTTCATGATAATAATAATAATAAATTTAATTCGCTGTTAGATATTAATCACTCAATATTAACACTCTTTGGTTGTTAGTTTTTTATTGCGTACCAAGCGAAAAAAAGAGAAAAAAAAAAATTGAAAAAAAAATAAAAAAAAAGAATGAACTTTTTGTGTACAGATCAAAAAAAGAAAACTTAAAAATTTTAACGCGATAACGTAATGTAAACGATATCTAATTATTATCTCTCGACTTAACCGCTTAACTGGAACAAAACTAAAAAAAAAAAAATTTTAAAACCATTTCAACAGTCAAGTTATGCTTCGTCGGCTTACAGATCGCGGTAAAAATTCAAATTTTCCGCAAAATTTCAAGGAGTTAAAGAACAAACGAAACACATACACAACAAACATATGTAAAGAGTTTATACAACAGTAACTGACTTATGACTTTTGTTTTAATAAAAGCGCTTAACCAAGTGTTGAACTATTGCCCGCATCGCTTTTTCTTGCTTTTAAGTTGAATAAAAGCGAAATAAAATTACTTTTTAAAAAATATTAAGCATAACGGCTGTGTTGAACTCATCAAATGAAACGATTACATAGTAATCATAGATCAGGACAAGTACTTCTTCACTTTTTTTTATTTTTTTTTTTTAAATTTTTTTAATTTTTATCTCTTATATGTACATGCATATATATATGCATAATATATGTATACATACATTTACTTTTTTTTTTTTTTTACTTTTTTTAATATATATACAAGAGACAAAAAAACAACAAATTTTCGTAATCTATCTATCTAGCCTTCTTTTACACGTAAAAGCTTTCACGTTACCATATATAAAGATCTACTGAGTTAAAGCCACAAAAAAAAAAGAAGAAGAAAAAAAAAAAACAAACAGAAACATTTGTTCCATATGCATATCATCGCTGTAAATGCGCGATGTGCGTGTTTCAGAAAACCGAAATGCTCCAACCGAACTGATAAGCAAAAATCATTCATTGTTTATGAAATATACCGCAAAGTGTTGCAAACGTCTAAAGTGCAAGAAGATTCCGTCTTATGCACAAGTTCGTATACATATGTTTTCATCCTTAGGTTATAATGTAATTTCTGCGAATCGCTTTGAAAACGAAACTAAATCCGGCAAAAAAAGAATGAAAATAAATATTTCTATGTATAAAATGTAACATCAAAGTGCTATGAAGAGATTAGAAAAATGAATGAAAATTCATTAGAATAGATTTTCACTTTTCAATTAATCTGCGCGAGAATCTCCTTTGCTTAGACTTTCTAATAAACTGACTTTTCAAATCATTTCCATAATCAAATATTCGTAAGCGATTTGAGCCAAATGCGTGCATCGAGTGACAGACATATGCTCTCCGTGCGTACCATCGGATATTGTATAGTGGAGATCGTAAATAATGCGCTTCACTTCCAATGAAATATCAAGGTCAATTGTTGGTTTCCTTTATGAGATTTGAATAATTATTTTATAAGAATAGGAAAAATGCACTACCATAATCTAAGTAATAGATCGAGATGCGAATACACTTTTTTTACGCTTGATTCATTTAACTAAATATACATAGGCAATGGATGCGATTTCAATTTCGGCCTTCCACTAAGCTATGCTAACGTTTTGTTGCATATTATTTTGTTATCCTATACTCGAACAGTCAAGCAAAGTGAAAAATTTTTATGAAATTCGACTTTTATTAAAGTTAACCTCGCTTTAACGTCTTTGTGGGCGCTTAGGTTATTCAAATTATTGTTACTATCATCAATAAAGAGAAGAAAAATCGAATATGAAATTATTCCTTCAGAGAGAAATTCCACAGAGAAATATAAATCTTATACCTTGATGCACTAGCAATAGTACTTACGGTATACAGTTGGTTAGCACAGTAGGAATGAAAAAGAAAATGAAGCAAAAACTAAAAATAAATAAAAACAATTTGTCTCTAAAGAGATTAAGAAAACGTATTTAAAGCGTATAATGATTCAAAAGAACAACAATTAACAAGCGATCTGAACCAGACAGCTCAAATCGTATTAGAAACTATCATCTAAACTAAACTAAAATAAATTTCTATCGTTTTCTTTCTAGATAGCAGAAAAAACTTCACCAAAAAATGAGTTAAAGAAAATTTGCTCAAAAGACTTTAGAAAATTTACGCGCACCCATATCAATATCAATAGGATTGATTCACATAAAAAACGACTTTATATTATCTGATGTGACATTTTCTGATATCCTTACATAGAGAAAACTAAATATTAGATTTATTATGTGACCAGCAAGCGTAGAGGTTGAACAAGCCATATTCTACATAAAGGTGAGATTTGAAAAGTGACAAAATATGCATTGATATCATTTATAAAAAATACGACAGAGAGCATTCAAACTTAATCAACTTCTTCCATTCACTTGAGAAAATTATAAAATTATCCATAAAATTTATTTATTTATTTGATGTCTATTTATTTTGTAAATAAATTTACAAAGTATGTATTGAACGGCTGCCGCAGTTAAGTCACATCGTAAACTCAGCCGCATTGAAAACTCTACCGCGACCATTGAGATGTTAGTCGCGATCCTTTGCCTACTCGTCTATGCAAAACAATATTCCACAGATTTGATAATCGAGACGTGATTGTTGTAAACCGCACCTCGCACATCTCGATATGTTCATCCGTCCATTCGAAAAAGAGGTTGCTTCGGTTGCTATACTCGTTATATAGTTGAAGTGTAAAATTTTTGTGAATTTTCTACCATCAAAAAAGACATTACGCTTACAATGATTAGATCGAAAGGTGAGAGAGCAAATACGAACATTTCGAAATTCGGGTCAAAAGAAATAAAATTAATTCTGATTAATTCGTTAAGCAAAAGCTTTCGTTTGCATTTTTTATCCAATAACTAACTGAACTAACAAGCATGCAAGTTTTGCCTTCAAATGACCGTTGATTGTTTTTTTTTTCTCTCTCTCTCTCTCTCTTTTTATTTTTTTTTCTTAATTTTTTTTTTTTTTTTTACATAAATTACATCTGTGATGTGAACAAAAACTTTGAGCATAAATTTACTCGACAAAGTTATTAAAGTTTTGTGTGCATTGACTTTATAACGAAGCTGGTAAAGCAAACAAGAGGCGAGAGTCGTAGGCCACATTTAATAGTTTTTCTATCATAATCTCTTTTCGTTTACGTTTATTTGGTGGTTTTTTTTTTTTTTTGTTTTTTTCTTTGTTCATTTGTTTTTTTTTGATTTCATGAAATTGACGTTAGTTTTGTTAAAAATAGAAATGCAACGCACACAGAACGACAACAACAATTTATTAACAGAGAGGACTTGATCGATTAAATTGTATTCGTTTCGTTCGAGATATATTGGATATCCTTTACTTGATAGCATATGAACGTACATTACGATGTTAGATCTTCATATTGAGAATTTTTATATAGTTTAGAGGATAAGAATCAACCGGACGAAGAATAAAAAGAAAACATAACTATATATTTTTTTTTAATTAAAAATCATTATGTTTATAAATAATATGCAAAAATTTAGATTCGATGTCATTCAATGTTTAGATTTGATAGGTAACAGAAAAAGAAAGAAAAAAAAAAAAATGAAATATGAAAAATGAGAAATGAAAAAAAAAAAAAAAAAAAAAAAAAAACATCACAACACAAACATAACTATATATTAGTATTAGTTGATATAAATTAAGTGATGACTCTCAACTATGATTTATGCTTTATATTCATTCATCGATAACTAAAGTGAGCTAAGAAGATGATGATGATAATGATAATGATGACAATGACGATGACGATTAAGATGATGATGTTAGCATTTAAAATTAAGCCAAAGAAAAAAAAAAAAAATCAATAACTATAACATGAATGGATTGCCATCTAATTCAATTTAAATTAAGTTATACACACATATACATATATTGATATTTATATTTACATACATATATATATAGATGCGGATGAAACGTGTTAGCTGAACTAAGTGAAACTCTAAATACGATAAGAGATACGATGATTATTATTTTTCTTTACGTTTTTTTTTTTCTGTTTTCATTTCCGTTTCATTTTTTTTTTTTTTTTTTTTTTTTTTTTTTTTTTTTTTTTTTTTTTTTGTTCATATCCGTAACTGTTTAAAGATTGAAAGGATATTTTTGGTGAGTTGCGTAAATAGTTTAATGAAAGAGTTATTATTATTATTATTATTGTTATTATTATTATTATTATTATTTGGATACAGAAAGGAAATGCTTTGTTGGAATTGAGGCTCAAATGATGCGTATAAAAACAAAAAAATGCATTATTAATGAAACCATATGAAAAGAATACATATATATAT